AAGAAAAAAAAGAAAAAAGCCCCAACCACAAGAGCTGTTGCTGGGGAGTGGGAGAGTGAACCTGCCTCCGTGTGACCGAGTCTCTCGTCCCCACTGCGCATCTGCCACCGCCTCCAACCACCTGTATCTCCTCATCCGGCACCCTGAGCCCCCCCCAGAGCCCTGGGAGCTGGCAGGGGCGGCGGTTCCTGGGGCTGGACGATGTGGATCGGGATGGGAGGATGGAGAGCGACCCTAAACTTCCTCGCCTCTGGGCCTTCCTCACGCTCTGGCTGCAGAGGAAGCACCGAGCCAAGCCCTGCAGCCTCCAGCTGCCTGCCCCCAGCCAGCTCAGCAGCCCGGTCAGTACCACGGCCCTGCCTCCCTCTGCCTCCCTTGCTCCTGCTGGCTGATGCTCCCGAGGGATATTCGGAGCAGTCTGGCTTGTTTCTCTTTCTCTGCTTTCTGGGATGGTTTTTTAATGGCGCCGTTGGAAGAAACTTGTCTCGGTGTGCTCTTGTGCTGGACACTCGTGCTGTGCTGCTAACCAGGCTGTAAGAGCTGCTGGCCAGAGTCCTGAGTGTTGAATTCCAAGTTGCTGGACGAGTCCATGGGAGGGAAACAATCCCTTGTGTCAGCAAGATGCCAAATGGCATCTCAAAGCGTTTCTCAGTGTCTCTATCAGCAGTGTCTGAGCTGGTGCCACTGCTGGCCTCGTTGGTGTGTGTGGTCTGGCTGTGTATGCAAACCCTGCCTGCCCTCAGCTGCAGCTCGGGCTGCTGAAACCACTTGCAGTTGAACATGCCAGGTTTTGCTGTTGCAAAGAATTCCCACAGCTGTGGAAACACAGCTCTGCTGCTCCTGAGGAGCTGTGGTAGGAGGATCACAGGATGGTTTGGGTTGGAAGGGACTTAAAAGCTCATCTTGTCCCACCCCCTGCCATGGGCAGGGACACCTTCCACTAGCCCAGGTTGCTCCAAGCCCTATTCAACCTGGCCTTGGACACTTCCAGGGATGGGGCAGCCACAGCTTCTCTGGGCAACCTGTGCCAGGGCCTCCCCACCCTCACAAGGAGGAATTTCTCCCTAACGGGTCCTGGATGGGTCCAGATGCCTCAGAGGTGGACACAGGAGTTCATTTTAAATGTTCCTCTCAGCATAGGTGTGTGATGCTACGGGGTGAAGCGTGTGTGGTCCTACAGGTGCTGATGCTGTGCAGAACTGGTTTCTCTTTAGTGTTTTCAGGAATATGAAGGGAGGGGAAGAACCCACAGCTTCCACTGGTCCCCTCCCCAGGTCTCTCCCTGCTGGGGGGTCACTCTGGAGAGCTGGACTAGCAGGAGGAGACCTCTTAGCTGGCTCCTGCTCCAGCTCTTGGCTAGAGGTGGGAAGCTGTTTCTCATGGCAGCTTTCTGCAGGGACTAAGCCTCCAAACGAAACCAGAAATGCAAAGTGGCTGCTTTAAGCAGGAGATCATAAGGAACACGAAAACATGTTGTTGCAGGGATTATAGGATCCTTCTCCCCTGTGATCACTGGGGCCAGGGAAAGGCAGGATAACACCAGGGAGCTCCTCTGCCCCTGCCCCCTCCCCGTGCTCGTGCTGTCCCTGCTGCACCCCTCGGGAGTGTGGGCTCCTCTGCCAGCCCTGAGTGTCTGAGGAACACAGCAGAGAGCAAAGCCACCACCATGGGAACAGAGCCACTTCCTAAGCTAGAGAAAAGCCCAGCCTGGGAGCGGGGAGGGAAGGGGGGGGTGCTCAGTGCAGGTGGGCAACCACATCCGCAGGCGCTGGGAGGGTGGGGAGTGGGCTGGGGCAGAGGAGAGGCAGGGCCTGGCACTTGGTTCCTGTTGGGTTTAAAAGCTGCTTTGATTAGGTGGTTCCCGACCAAGTGTCTGAGCAGCTTTAGTAAATAAAGTGTAATTTCTTTTTTTTTTTCCCCCCAACTCCTCAAGGGGAAAAACGAAATAGTGGTTGCAGCTTCCTGCAGCCTCTGATGGCCACGTCTGCCCAAGGGTCAGGGAGAACCGAGCTCAATGCACTTTGGAACATAATTGCTGGAGTCCAAAAAGCAACCAGGATATCTGCACTGGATAACGTGGGAGGGAAGTGCTGAGGAGCCTGGACTTGCCCTTGCAAGATGTCCAGCTACAAGGGATTTATGGCCTGAGTAAGAGTCATGTCTGTAGGAGTGGGAAGTTGAGTCCAGCCCGCCCTGTGGGAGAGGGGCTGGAGCAGATCAAGCTCAGAGGAAATCAAAGTTCAGATATACTGACTAGGCATGATAAAGAGAAGTAGAGGGAAAGGCACAGATGGAAGACTACTACTATAAAAAGTCTCAGTGTATCTGGGATGCAATAGAAAGCAGCACAGGGTGGGGGCTTCAGTCATCAGAGGTATGGAAAAGGTTTGCTGGGAACAGGAGGTGTTGCAGCATCACCTCAGGGTCTGTGGCTGTGCTGGAGTGCTGGCCTAGCTCCGTTGATGAGTTTATTCTATTCATGCTGATTAAATCTATTTTTTCTTCTTTCCTTTTTTTTTTTATAAGTAAAATAATGTGTTTTAAACAAAACATGTGCCAGAGACCTTGGCTTCCCCTCAATCTTCTTGAAGCCTCGAGTCTGTTAAAGCATCATCTGTATGTGCTGAAGATGCACTAAGACTTATGTTGCAGAGTTGCTCAGATTGCCGAGCAGATGGGCTCCAACATGTCTGATTTTTGCCAGCCCTGGCCCTGTTTTGACAACAGTGCCGTATTTTTTTTGTGTGTGTGTGTTGTGGGATTTTTAGTGGCATAAACACTCCTGTTTTTGCTACCAGTGCCTTAAAAAGGAAGGTGCTTTGCAAGCACTCTTCTGAAATGCAGTTCAAAGCCAGCGCGGCACCCGTCGGGAGAGCAGGGGGAGTTTGCCAAGGCTGCCTGGTGCTACCTTGCCCCTGACTTATTTATTCCAGATGTTGATACCTGTGACAAGCACCAGCTTTCATGCTTCTCTCAGACATGGTCTGTAGCTCCAACCCTTGTCCCATAATCCCATAGGGCTGCTTTCCCTTCTTCGGGAGTCCCGGCCAACCGTGTCCCATCTTTTCCAGGGAGAAGGTGTCGTGCAGGAGTTCAACATCACACACCATGTGAAGGAAGGCTCTGAGAAGGCTGATCCCTCGCAGTTTGAGCTGCTGAAGGTGCTGGGACAGGGCTCCTTTGGCAAGGTGAGATCACTCTTTCCTATATGCCATGACAGAAATGATTTTGATGACAGAAGGGACTGTTCCCAACAAAACCACTTTCCTGGTTCCCACTGGACTGTCAAAATCTGATGGATGAGCCCAACTGAGCACCCAAATGGGTGCTTCTAACCTGGAAGGTGACTGTAGTGATGCCTTTCCTAAGGGCCAGCCTGAATGTCCAAATTGCCCTGTAATCCCTTTTGCAGATGGTCAGGAGGAGAGCAGGAATGTCCTGCTCAGGTGTCACACAGGGCAGAAGGGCCTCCTGCAGCTCTTCAGCTGCCTGCCAAACTGTCAGTCAAACTGAGGGCTTGAAGGGCTCAGGCATGTTCCTCCCTTCTCAGAACTGTGTGCCAGGAACTGGTTCTAGCCCCTGTTTATGGTCCAGTTTCCCTTCTGTGAAGCAGGAAGGAAGTAGCCTGTAACTCTTATCTATTTCAGCATGTAAATAATCCAGTCTCTCACAGACCATCTGCTGGCACATTAAATCAGCTTCATGTCAATCAGTTATCAGCTGACAGTGGGGGCTTGGACAGGACTGTGTGCTGTTTCCTGGGCAAATGCAGCAGTGGCTTTGTAGAATCAGAGAATCATTTGGGCTGGAAAAGACCTCTGAGATCATCCAGTCCAAGCAGTAACACTGCCAAGGCCACCACTTGCAGGTGGTGTGTTTTCGAAGCTGCCTAAAACCAGGTAGAATGAGACACCAGGGAAAGGAAGGAGGCAAAAATCCAGAGGATGCAGGACCTGAATAATAAGGAGTTGATCTGACTGACAAACCAGCAGGATTTGTGGTACATTGAAGCATCAGTGCTTCCAGTCACAGCTCCCAGGCATCAGCCAGAGCCCCACGGGAGCTGCAGGAGTGAGCAAGAGGTGTGGAAGGCAAGAGGAGGGAAGTGCAGTAGGAAAACACAAATGCTGCAATGGCTGGAGGTGGGGGTTGAGAGGAGTCCACACACAGCACTTCCCTGAAAACCCCCTGGGGTTTCACAGGAGGTACAGCTGCCTTTTAGGGTTACTGTGAGGTCTGCCACTTTGGGAGGCATCCAGCTCCTACTGCCAGTGTTTAGTGCTTGCTGAATGTGCTGTTCTTCTGCCTCAGGTTTTCTTGGTGAGAAAAATAACACCACCAGACAGCAACCACCTCTATGCCATGAAAGTGCTTAAGAAGGCGACACTGAAAGGTAGGAAGGAGACTCTTACTGTGATGCTCTGACCCTCCCTGACTTAAAGAGCGCTGGGGAAATGTCACAGCAGTCCCGGGGTGGTTTAGGTAAAAGAGGAGCATCTTTATCCCAGCCAAACAGCCTCCTTTTCTCTCCATCTGCAACAGACCCTTGGCTCAAGCTGCTTGGTGCTCAAGGGCTTAAGGTTGAGGACAAGACTGGGGTACTCTGAGGCTTTTTCTGTGTCTGAGCTGTTCCTGTCTTCCCACAGTGCGTGATCGACTAAGGACAAAGATAGAAAGGGACATCCTGGCTGATGTAAACCATCCCTTTGTGGTGAAACTCCACTATGGTGAGTGTGGGGCTGTTTGGGATGCTGGGAGAGGGGCTGCAGGCTCCAACAGACTCTTTGCCTTTAGATGCAATCCCCTTAACACAAAGCCTTTCCTGGAAGGGTCTGTGGTCCCGTGCCCGCTCCAGCTATTGAATGGGGAACAGAGAACAGACCAGGAGAAGAGGTTGAAACATCAAATCCTTGAGATTAAAGCATTAAATCAGGAGAAACTGAGAAAGCAGAGTTAACTAGTCAAGCTAGAGTCAGCTTTGTTCACTGTGAAGTGACCAGTGCCTCTCCTGGGAAAACAGCCCTTTCTGTAGGGCTGGAAGGGAACCAGACCCCCATAAAAGGAGGATTTTCTGCAGTGCCAGAGTGCTGTGGTGAGCTCCCATTTCAACAGCACAGACAGGCCATCTCCTTTACCTCAGATATCAGCCCTACCTGCGTTTAACCCAGTAACCACGCAGGGCATCTGCCCAACTGGAGCCACTGGGATTTAAGTGATTAATGGAACACCACGGAGCCTTCCCTCAGTGGAGGGGTCTGATTCCCGCTCTGGCTTGTGTTTCAGCATTCCAGACAGAGGGGAAGCTGTACCTCATCTTGGATTTCCTCAGAGGAGGTGACCTTTTTACTCGGCTTTCCAAAGAGGTGGGTATGCTCTGGCATCTCGGTGGGTTGCTGAGGCTCCCAGTTCATCTGTGCTTAATGGCCTGGAGAAGGGACTCACCCTTGAGAGGGGTGGAAACAACCTGCAACCTGCTGCTAGTCCACAACTGGCAACGGGAGAGGGTGTTTTGGGAATCCTGTGTTCTGGCAGGAAAGCAGCAGCACAGGCAGCAGGTCTCACCTCTGCAGCAGCTTCTGCTGGGCATCATGTTAATAACAAAAACTAAAAGAGGGGAGATTTATACTAGATGTTGAGAAGAAATTGTTCCCTGTGAGGGTAGGGAGGCCCTGGCACAGGTTGCCCAGAGAATCTGTGGCTGCCCCACCCCTGGAAGTGTCCAAGGCCAGGTTGGACGAGGCTTGGAGCAATCTGGGCTAGTGGAAGGTGTCTCTGTCCCCTTCCAACCCAAACCATTCTGTCATTCCATGAATGGGTACTTTAGGATGGGGGGCGAACTCTGGGAAACTTAGAAACAGCAGGAGGGGGCAACATGGACGTGAAGGGTCTCACTGCTGGCCCTGTGACCCCAGCACCTCTGCTCTCCCTGTCCCTCCCTGCAGGTCATGTTCACCGAGGAGGACGTGAAGTTCTACCTGGCGGAGCTGGCGCTGGGACTGGACCATTTGCACAGCCTGGGGATCATATACAGGGATCTCAAACCAGAGAAGTACGTGTGGCCCAGCTGAGCCAGGGATCCCAGTCCTGCATCCAGCCCCGAGCCTGTAGCCAGCCCTCCACACAGGCAGGGCTGGAGGATGGCCCAGGGCCAGGCAGATGGGAGGTGGCAGTGCCAATCCAAGGCTGCTGCTCCTCAGATCAGTGCTTGTGGCCAGGAGGCAGCATATGTGCACCACGTGTGTGAAGAGCAATCCTTGGCAGCCTCTGGGCTCCAGCTTTAAGCAGTTTGAGAGCCCTTGGGGGAAGGAGGCACCAGGCTGGGCCTCTGCATGGCTTGGTTCTCCTTGCCTGGGGTATGTGGGGATCAGGGCGAGTGCAACCTGTGTGGGTCATTTGTTCCATGTGAAGCTGAGGATGTAGAGAGAAGGGAGCTGCTCCTGGTCCCTCTTATGTCTTGGTGATGGAGCTTAAAGCACTGGGAGAAGGGACAGATAACTTTCTCCTCTGGATTTTGGCAGCACCTCCGACCATCCACTGCAGTGCTTGTTCTCACCAGCCCTCACTGCAGACTGTAACAACTTGTTTTTTCCATTCCTGATGCAGCATCCTCTTGGATGAAGAAGGGCACATCAAACTCACAGGTGAGGGACTCCACAAGGCCTTGGGCTCCTGCGAGGTCGGTTCTTTAAGTATGGAGCTCCTTGTGTGACTGCTCAGGGCACGTGGGGGTGTGTGCTGACGGGCTTTCTCTTGTGCAGATTTTGGCTTGAGTAAGGAGGCCATAGACCACGAGAAGAAGGCCTATTCCTTCTGTGGGACAGTGGAGTACATGGCCCCAGAGGTGGTGAATCGCCAGGGCCACTCACACAGCGCTGACTGGTGGTCCTACGGGGTCCTGATGGTATGTACCCAGCCAGGGTCTGCGGGCACTGGGAGGAGCAGCTGCTCCAGCCCTGGAACACCCGGACACGGGTCTGTGTGTCTGCCAGACCTGCTGACCTGGGGTGTTCCCCACCCTCCCCAAAGGGCTCCGTAAGGGGCTGTCCTGGCGCCCAGCCAGGAGCTGGGTGGGTTTCCCGTGGGAGGCAGCGCTCCCGAGGGGGCTGTCCCGGTGAGCTCTGGGATGGGGGGGTGTCCGTGTCCACCCCAGCGCCGGGGTGAGGGTGTCCGTGCAGATCTGGTGCCACCATCTGGCAGCTGCTGAATCCCAGGGCTCCCGCAGGAGCCGGCGCTGGCCCGAACGTGTTCCCGCTGCACAAACCTTGTGATCCGAAGCTCCTCCTGAGAAAACACGATGCCTGTGAGCTCTGTTAGAGCCAGGCTTGGGATCCCTCAAGCTTTTCACGAAGGGGCAGTGAGATCTGTGCAACCCTCAGCCTTGCCCAAACATGATCCCCCCCTTCTTCTCTTTCCCTCCCAGTTTGAGATGCTCACCGGTGCGCTGCCCTTCCAGGGGAAGGACCGTAAGGAGACCATGACCCTCATCCTCAAGTAAGAGGAGTTTCTCTCTCCTGCCTGCATAGGAGGTGCTGCTTTTTGAGCCGTGTTGCAATCTGGGGGCTCTCGCAATTGAATGGCGTTATTTGGCAAGCGGTTTCCTACCAACAGTTAGTTAGAAGGGTGCAGTGTAAATGCCAAGGGGATGACTGTGCTTTTTGGGGGTGGAGGTGCTGCAGTCAGCTTGTGGCTTGACTTCTTTAAACCTGCAGCTGATTGCAAAACTTCCTCCCCAGAGCGAAGCTGGGCATGCCACAGTTCCTGAGTGCTGAGGCGCAGAGCCTCCTGAGAGCCCTGTTCAAGAGGAATCCGGCCAACAGATTAGGTAAGACAAATGTTTTGTTTCCTTCCAAATACACCTGATGCCCTATCGGGGCCTCTCTCACCCTCCTGGGTCAGCAGCGTGTTCACGCTTGTGCTCAGTTAATGGTTAGCTGCAGCCAAGCTCTCCATCCCCCCTGGCTGTGTTGTGTCACCCTCACCTTGTCAGGGGTTTAGTGCAACGTGCTCCGTGGTGCATCTTGCAGGTTCTGGACCGGATGGGGCGGAAGAGATCAAGCGCCATCCTTTCTACTCCACCATTGACTGGAACGTGAGTACTGGAAACACGAAAGCAGATTTCTTCACCAGTCAGCACCAGCAATTCACTTCTGGCAGCAGGAATAGTGTGGTCATGGTGCTTGAGCAGCCACAGGAGAGCCACCAGCCCCTGTCCCCATCCATCCCAATAATCCTTCCCGAAACTAAAATTCTGTTTGTCACAGAACTGTTCCATACTTGGGTTGCCTGTCACCTCACCTCAGATTGAATTTACTCATCTGTCAGCAGAGAAGAGCAGGTTTTAATTGGGGTTTGGCACAAGGTTTGTCATGCACTAAGTGGGAAGGAATCAGGGAAACGTTCCTGGCCAGGAAATCAGGGCAATCACTGAACTGGCACTTCCCAACTGCTTCTGGGCAGCTCCCTACTTTGCCACACAATTTTGTTTCTTCCCTGTTTTCCCTTACTCAGTAAGGGATTTGAAGATCACTCCTAATACTTCCAAGGTCCCTGCAAGCTGCTAGACTGACCCTCCAGCAATGCCAGTAAAGCTTATTTCCAATTTTTGCTTCAGGAAGCAATTTAAAAAGGCACTTGTGGGAGTTCCTCCTAATGCATCTCCTCTGGCCATCCCTGAGGAGATACGTGTCAGCAAAGCCCTAATGGGAGTTAGGAGGAGGTGGGAGAGCCTGTCAAGGAAAATGCTTTATGGATGCTGCACTTGGAGTGGGGGCAAGTTGCCTATAGAACACTTATTTTCTTGATTTAATATATGATGCAACTCGCAATATTTCTCCACAAACTGACTCAAAAGCAACCCACCAGCCAAGAAGTCCTCGCTCAGGCTGCTGAGCTGTAGCTAAATGCTAAGCCAGGGAGTTTCACAAAATCTCTTTCCTTGCCAGCCTTTGCACCCTCTGGAAGGCTGCACCCGTCAGAGCACTCTCTGTGTTTTGCAGAAGCTGTACCGCAGGGAAATCAAGCCCCCCTTCAAGCCTGCAGTGGGCCAGCCAGACGACACCTTCTACTTTGACACGGAATTCACGTCGCGCACGCCGAAAGGTTTGTGTGACTTCACACAAAAGCCAGAGCTTCCTGTGTGAGGTGATGCTCTGTGGTTTAATATTTAACACCGCAGAGCATCTGGTGCCTGCAGGGCAAGGTTTGCCTCGGGCTGGTGCTGCCAGCTCAGGTGGTTCCAGCACTGAGAGGGTGGCCCAGCCATAGAGATGTCGGGCTCTTCTCACAAGTGAGACAAGAGGAAATGGCCTCAAGTTGTGCCATGGGAGGTTTAGGTTGAATATTAAAGAAAACTGCTTCATGGAAAGGGGTTGTCAAACCCTGGCACAGCTGCCCAGGGCAGTGGTGGAGTCGCCATCCCTGGAGGCATTTAAAAGACATGTGGATGTGGCACTTGGGGCCATGGTTTAGCAGCAGCCTTGGCAGGGCTGGGGGAATGGTTGGACTCGCTGATCTTAGAGGGCTTTTCCAACCTGGATGACTCCATGATTCTCTGTGGGGTGTTAGGGGTAAAAGCTGGGTGCTGCTGGTGTGGCTCTTGTTTGGAATAAACTCAGCATCAGCCACAGCTCCTGGGAGCGAGGGGAAGGCTTGCAGAACCAGCCCTCTTCAAGCTGTGTTTGCACTCCTGTTGCAGATTCCCCAGGCGTCCCCCCCAGCGCGGGGGCCCACCAGCTCTTCCGAGGCTTCAGTTTCGTGGCGACCGGGCTGATGGAGGATGGCAAGGTGAAACCTGCCCAGCCCCCCCTGCATTCGGTTGTGCAGGTAGGAAATGGAGACACTGGAACAACTGTTTGAAAGCACAGAGACCCTCCAGGTCTGTGCTGCCCAGAGCAGCTCTGACAGGAAGCCTGAGGCGGTGTCTGTTTGGAATTCTTGCATCCTGTTTTTCTTTCATTTCCATTGACTGTCACACTGTGCACAGGTTGGCAGGAAAACGCAGGGCTGTGGCTTTTCCTCTCCCCACGTGGATCTGTGCTGGTGGGAGTCTGTAAATGCCTGTGGGTTGAAGGTGCCACCCAAACACACCGCGCTCGGAGCAGACAGTGTTATCCCACTGACCTATATCTGCCTTGCTCTCTTCTCCTCCCTCTCCCAGCCGGGAGGAGAAGCTGTGGGATGTAGCAGACAGTCTGCCAGCTCTGCCAGTTAACTCATCACATTGCACAAACCCTTCCCTGAACCCTCACAGCTCATCTCCCCTTTCTGCTCCTGCAGCAGCTGCACGGCAAGAACGTCCAGTTCAGCGACGGGTACGTGGTGAAGGAGGTGATCGGCGTCGGCTCCTACTCCGTGTGCAAACGCTGCATCCACAAAGCCACCAACATGGAGTACGCAGTCAAGGTCAGAGCCCTGCCCTCAGAACTGAGCTCCCCTGCTAGATTTTTGCCCAGAGAAGCTGTGGCTGCCCCATCCCTGGAAGTGTTCGAGGCCAGGTTGGACAGGGCTTGGAGCAGCCTGGTCTAGATGTTCTTTAAGGTCCCTCCCAACCCAAAACCATTCTGTGATTCTGTTTCTGCTCATCCCACGAAGAGCAAAATAACATCCAGGAGTGAAATCGCTTTCCCTGCTCGTGTAGGGCCTAAAAGGACAATTTCTGTGCTCCTGTGCATGTACCTGCACTTCCCCAGGAATAGCAGGGAGCAGCATTCTCTTCCCTCAGAGAGAGGAGAGCACCTCACCTTTGCTTGCAAAGCTGTGGCTACACCAGATCTTAACAAATACAACAGGCATAAAACTTTGGGGATTAGGAACACAACTTCCCCTTCTCCAGCTGCTACAGAGAGCAGGGGAGCAGATATGGCACAGGAGCTCTGGAAGGCCCCAAACTCAGCTTGTGTGCTTTGTCCTGGCCCCCTTCTCACCCCGTTATGACTAATCCTGCTTCTCCCTACTCCTGCAGATGATTGACAAGAGCAAGCGGGACCCTTCTGAGGAAATAGAAATCCTGCTGCGGTACGGGCAGCATCCAAACATCATCACCTTGAAAGATGTGAGTGTGGCTTGAATGACTTCCCTGTGTTTTGGTCTAGGAAGTGCAGGCTGCTCAGGGAGCAGATTTCAGCTCCAGCACGGGTGGCCCAACAGCCCAGCTTGATGTGTCGCTCTGTCTCTGTTATGAAAAGGTTCTTCCCCCAGAGGGTGGTTGGCACTGAACAGACTCCCCAGGGCAGTGGTCATGGCCCCAAGGCTGCCAGAGCTCCAGGAGTGTTTGGGCAACACTCTCAGTGACAGGGTGGGATTCTTGGAGTTGTCCTGTGCAGGGCCAGGAGTTGGACTTTGATGATCCTTGTGGGTCTCTTCCAACTCAGGATATTCCATGGTTCTGGGGTGGGGAAGCACCCCCAGAGCCACCTCTGCTGATCTCTGCTTCTCGGTGGTAGAAGCACAAAAGGGAAGCTCCAGAAGCACTTTTTGGTTAATCCCCTCCCCACGTTTGCTTTGGAAGGTGTACGACGACGGGAAGTTCGTGTACCTGGTGACTGAGCTGATGAGGGGAGGGGAGCTGCTGGATAAAATCCTCAGACAGAAGTTTTTCTCAGAGAGGGAAGCCAGTTCAGTCCTGCACATGATCTGTAAAACAGTGGAGTATCTGCATTCCCAAGGGGTGAGTATGGTCTTCCTGGGAATTCTCTGGCATTACACTGTGCTCCCTCTCCTCCAGGGAGTAACTCTGCCCGTCAGGACAATTATTTCTCGCTGGTGTTGCTCTCTTGGCAAAGCAGATGTGGGACCAGAGCAGGGGTTGAGTGTCCTCAGGCAGCTTTCAGACCTTTATCTACCTGGGGTGTGGCCCTTTCTTTGCTCCACAGGTGGTTCACAGGGACCTGAAACCCAGCAACATCCTCTATGTGGATAAATTGGGAAACCCCGAGAGCATTCGGATTTGTGACTTTGGCTTTGCCAAGCAGCTGAGGGCTGAGAATGGGCTGCTCATGACTCCCTGCTATACAGCCAACTTTGTGGCACCTGAGGTAAGTGCTGACCTGAGACCCTCTGACAGCCCCCTTGTCCCTGTTCTCCCTCTTGGCACAGTGGGTCTGCCCCATTCCCAACTCCAGCCTGCCCTGGAAAAGGGAACTACAGAGATCCAACTTGTAATAATGAACAAACAGGAGATCCCAAGTGCAGCTACAGGGCAGTCCTCCAACCTGCACTGCCCTCATGAGAGGTCTGCTTAGGGTACTGAGACTGTAAAATCCCAGTGATTTCCTAGGCTGCTTCCCTTCCTCATTAAGTGACTTGTTAAAAGAGGTGGGATGATTTTCCCCTCAGTTATCTTGGTGAGGAAGAAAGAAGGAGAGCCAGCATGGCATGGGAGCACACATGCAGTGTCACCACACTGGAACAGGGCTTCTTTCTTGACGTGCCTGAGGGGTTCCTCTGCTCCATGAAACCAAAGTCCGATTTGAATCCTGACCTTCGGTCCAAGACTTTTCTGTTCTGTCGGGCTCTGGATGCTTTGCACATGGGCTGCACCCAGGTCAAGCCCCCTCTTCTGAAATGAGCTCAGTGACAAGAACAAAACACACTTTGTTTTCCCTTTGTTCTGCTCAGGTACTGAAACGCCAGGGCTACGACGAGGGCTGTGACATCTGGAGCCTGGGGGTTCTCCTGTACACGATGCTCGCTGGGTAAGTGGCTCTGTCCCCCTGGAAGGCAGGGCTGGGGCTGGGACCCCCCTGCTCTGCAGTGGCAGCAGGACTCCCCTCAGTCACTGCTGCCCAGTGGTGCTCCCTGCCTGTGTCCCAGGCCAGTAAACCCAGTGCTCTCTCCTCTCCCCTCCTCTCTCCCCAGCTGCACTCCCTTTGCAAACGGTCCCAGTGACACTCCAGAAGAGATCCTGACCCGGATAGGTGGGGGGAAGTTCTCCATCAGTGGAGGCAATTGGGACACTATTTCTGACATGGCCAAGGTAGGGGTTGATATTTGTGTTACATTCAAGGGTTGGGGTCAAGCAAGGCCAGTTGCAGTGAGGCAAGTTTAGAGCAGGCTGGGGAGGGAGGACACAAGAGAGAGAAGAATACCAGCAGTGTAGCTTCTCCCCCATGTCTGCCTTCCACACAGCAGCTTTATTTCAGTTCTGGCTGTGAATATTTGCATGGAAAATGGAAAACCAACCTCGTGCCTGACCCATGTGGGGTTTGCTGCTGTGTTATACCTCCCAGGCCTGCCAAAAACATATTTCATATAAAAAGAGTTTGATGTCTGGGGATTTTAAACCTGGCCTCTGAATTTAAAACCTAATCTGGGGGCAGACAGGTGGTATTTTTGCATTTAAAGCATGAAATCTTCTAAAGTCTGACTTTTCCAAATGATGCCCTTAGGATTTGGTATCAAAGATGCTCCACGTAGATCCTCACCAGCGTCTCACAGCCAAGCAGGTCCTGCAGCATCCGTGGATAACCCAGAAGGACAGCTTACCCCAGAGCCAGCTCAATCACCAGGACATTCAGCTTGTAAAGGTACAAAGTCTGGGCTGAGCCTTCTGCTGGTCCCTCGTGTACCTTGGGAAAGGTCCAGGTCGGGCAATGGTGGAGTGGGAAAGCAGGATGGCAGGTTGGAGAGGTGTGGGGCAGGGGAGGGAATACAGACAAGCTGGGTTTGTGGGGAGATAAAAAAGGGAGGTTTTGAACAGCATATCAGTTCAGGAGGGAGATTTAAAGAAATAAGAAAGATGCTTCTGGCTTTGTTTGTGGGTTTGGCTGCATCTTGTAAAGCCATGAGTCTGAAATAGCTCCTCTACACCCACATGATTTCTACACTTAAATTACCTCTCTCCTCCCTTTCTCCAAGGGTGCAATGGCTGCCACGTACTCTGCACTGAACAGCTCCAAGCCAGGCCCTCAGCTGAAGCCCATTGAATCCTCCATCCTGGCACAGAGGCGGGTGAAGAAACTTCCCTCCACCACCCTGTGAAGCCGGGCTGGGCTGGGCTGCAGCCACACGGTGCAGGCACACACTGGATTTTGCACACCTGTGGAAGATGGGGACAGGGGACAGTCAGTATCTGCACTGGAGCTCCCTTGGAGGCTTGCTCTCGAAAGGCCAAGTGCCTTCCTGCTCCTGAAAGACTGGCTCCTCCTCGTGTGGACTGATCTTTGCCGAGAGAACTTCACTGTAAAACTTTTTTGAAGTGTAAATTGTCAATTTTTAAAGACATCCGTGTATATGAGAACTAGAATGTATAACTGATGTCAAGTGGCACTAAAAAGCAGCTCTGATTTCACCCTTCCCTGTGTAGGGCCTGGTATTTGTTGTTGCTGCAGCATTTCTTGGAATTGTTCCTCTCCAGCTCCACTGCAGCTGCAAGACTGTACCACATTTGGGGGTTAGGCTTTGGGGTTTTTCCCTCCTTGAACCTTTGGATGCCCTTCCCAAAGCCAACCCTGCAGCCTCCCAGCCAGCAGTGCTCTTGTCCTTAAAGGACTTCCCTCCCCTTCACTGTGTGTGTGTTCCACGTGAGGTCGATTTTCCAGCCTCTGTTTCTCCCTCTCTCTTACGCTCCCCCAGCCCAGCCAGCAGTTCAGTTCTCTGAACAAAATAAACCAGGGTTTTCCAAACCCTCCCTTAGATGCTTCACCTGTCCAGAACACCTGCTAGGTTTGGCTCCTTCCTTCCCTCTGTTTTCTCCCATCACCAGATGGGAGTTTGTCACCTGGGCAGGTGGGGACGACAACAGAACTTTCTCTGGCTGCTGCTTTTACCATTTTGGGGTTTTCCTTTCCTGTCAGCAGGAACCTCTGAACAAAACCATCCTTTGTTTTGTTTTTTTTTTAATTTAACTTTGTTCTCCAGCTTGGTAACTCAGGGTTTCTTTCTGACTCGTCCAATAAACGTGTCATTCAGGTGACTTTACGTTACTGACTGACTTTCAGCTGCAGAATCCGGTCGTTTCCCTGCCTTGTGTGGGGACAGTGCTCCTTGCCTGCCTTTTGGGAGAGCTGCAAAGCCCTGTGGTGGGAAAACCAGCAGTAGGGCTGCATCTCATGCCACCTCCTCTCAGGTGCAACCCCTCACTCCGCAGTGGGAAGTGATTAGAACCGGTCACGGAATGAGGAGCTGGCAGGATGTGCATGGGAATTTCTTACTCTCAGGACATTTTAGTGCTAATAGAAACCAACACTTGGAGGCAAACTGTGCCAGAAATAAATTCCTGCCCCATTCTGACTTGCAGGGAATTGCTGGAGCTCCCTGGTTCCCTGGGAGAAGGAGCAGGGTTGCTAAAAGGGCTGCAAACACTCACGAGCTCGAGGATGTGACTGAAGCCAGCAAAGGTTCTCCTGTGAATTTCTCCTACTTTTAGCTGATCATGTCACAAGAGAGGAAATTTTCTTTTTTGCTTAGTCCCACTTGGCTTTAAAATGGAGAATTCCATAAAAAGAATTATCTGAAAAGTACAGCTCTCTCCTCCTCTACCCTAATCCAAGCAGGTCCTGGTTTAATCCCTGGAGCAGCCAGTGAGAAGCTGAAATAGTCACAATTTTTTTCTTTTTCTCTATTCCAAGTACAGCCTGAGTGTCCAGTGCTGCTGAGAGGAGGAGGCCAGCACCAGTTCACAGTGGATCCTCTTACTGGTATTGCCACTGATCCCAGCAGAGATGGATTAAATGTTTTGCTGAGATTTGGGGAGGGGGACACCATTATCCAAGATGCCTTCCTTAAAAATACTTGTTTTCACCTCTCTTCCCTACAACTCCACAGTAACTCTTGTGCCAGTGGTGTGCTAATTTTAGCTAATTTAATCTGTTGCAACCAATGCAATAATTATAAACATCTTTCTGGAGCTGAGGTTGAAGTTGGAATTGAAGTGGACACCTCAGCAATTTTTCAAAATACTTCCTACATTGTATTTCCAGGGAAGGCCTGGAGTGATGGATGGGGCTGGATATGTTGGTGGGAATCAACACTCCCTGTCAGCCTCTTGATATGGACCATCAGGGTCTTCAGCCCTCCAGTTTAGGGGGAATTAAACCAAATGTTTGCCCTGCTTGGAAGGTTGTTTGTATGAAACTGCAAATGTTTTCAAATATCAGTCAGGAAAAACATTATGACCTTTGCTCAATCCTCCCTGTGCTGTGCTGGTGTGAGGCCAGCTGGGGACAACTCAGAGGTGTGTGGGGACAACCTGGTGCAGAGCTCTGTGGGCACGGGGAGAGCAGCCCTTGGCCAGGAGATGATACCTGGGGCATCCAACCCCAATGCCTGGGGCACCAACCCCTCCACCTCACTGGGGTTCTCCAGTCAGAAGAACTTTGTGTTTGGTGCAGCTGTAGCTCCTGGAACCTCCATCCCTCTGGAGCAGAGAGTGAACAAGAAGGGCTACACCTTCCCCCCCTGGGGTGCTTTTACCCACGTTGTTCCGAGTGATCCATAAGTAAAAACAAGTCTGGATTTTTAGTTCCAAATCAACCAAGTGCTGTTACCTTTTTTAATTCCAGTGCTCAATAAAAATGGACTTGTTGAATTCTCTGTGTATGAGAACTGTAGGTGTTTGTGACTGGCCGGGCTCTGTCCTTTCCTTTTTAATTTTGTCCTGACAATATTAGACCTTTACCAAAATACAGCTGGGACCAACTGTTATCTTAACTGGAATTGCATTATTTGAGGTGAAAGTTGGCTGTCTAATCTCTGTTTTGGGGAGCCGGTGTCTGGGAGAGACCAAATGATCTGCTCTCACAAGAGTCTGAGCTCATTTAGCTGTAACTTGGGACAAACGATACACAGAGGATATCACAAATTGTTATGACTTGAAAAGGGGTAGAAATGGATTTAACTTCCATGCATAAGGAAATCTTTGCAAGGAAAACTGCTTGTGTTAGTTCAGGTGTTTAATAATCGACTTGACCTTTAAGCTTTTGTCCTGTAGGTCTGTATGAAAGCTCAAGGGAGCAGAAATCCCAAAATCCAGCTTCGAATTGCTGAGTCTACCTGGAATTAGCCTGTGCAGAAAGAGCATCCAAAGTCAAAGAGCCTGAAAATTATATTGAACAGCTCTATATAATACAGTTTTTGTGTAAGAAAGGTTAAACTTCCCTATTCTGGGGTATAAACCAGCAATATCTCTGCTGTAAAAGAGGCTGAGAGGCTGTTTCCCTTCTTCCCACTGTGTACCATAGCTGTGCCTTCCCCTTAACGATGTGGTTCTGCCCTCTGTCAAACTAACCAGGGCATAAATAAATGTATTTTGGCCCGATCAATACTCCCATCATGATTCTTTAGGCTGTCTTTAAAACTGGAGGCCAGTAACTTCCTCAGCAATCACCTTCTGTTCCTTTTTCACAGCGAAAGCGGTCTGGGTTTTTTAACTTTTTTTAACTCATGCCAGTCCCTCTCCCTCCTTTGAGCCAGTTAATTCCTTTTCCTGCATCTTTAGGCACTGGTGGGTGTTGGATGGTGCAGCTGGTGGCCTCCTGGGTGCCACCACCACCTCCTCGTGGTGGCCACGGCCGCCTTCCCAAGGACGGGGGAGGCTTCGGAAGCGCTCGGTGACTCCGAGCGTGTCGGACGGCTTCCATGGAACATTCGACAATTTAATCCCTCTTTCAAGGCAAAGAAAAAAACATTTAAAATATTTCAAGGTCTTCTTTTTGGCAGTACGTGGGGGCTCTGAATAAAACCTTCACTCACGCCAGGGAAGCCGGAGGGCCGCTGCCACTCCAGTTCCTTGCCTCCGGTTATTAAAACATCAAGCTGTCTTACTGCCTCCCTCCCTTTGTGTGGCACTGAACACCTGCCATTAATACTAATTCGACTCCGGAGAGAAACTCCCTTTCAGATATGCTTGTCTGAAAATAAATTGACATGTAAAAGGTCTCTTTTGTCGCGAAGTGCACGGAAAGTGCCGGGGTGAGGAGCCGATCGCTTACAAAAGGAGGCACTGACTCTTTAAATGACGTGGGGAGGGGGTGAGAAACGAGAAATGTAGGGGGGGTGATGCTGTAGCTGGGCTGATGTGATACAATTAGAGGAGGATCCCGTGGCTGCAACCTCTGTTTGGTGTTAGACTTTGAGATTTTGGGCGATTTCCGTCTAAACCCCTGATTGTCTCAGGGGTGAATGGCCAGGCTCTGCAGGGACCCCTTTGGAGAAAACTCTGTTTTGTTTAGAAAAATTGTTGTTATTACAAATAAGTACAACAAAAACTCAGGGCATTTCATGGTGAGCCCTTCAATTTAGATGTATAATGAACTCCAGGGCTCTGCTGTTTTTCCTGGGACAAAAAATTTCGTAACACCGGAGAAGGGTCCTGTAGCTGCAACCCCTGTTTGGTATTAGATTGAGATTTTGGATGATTTTTGTCTAAACCCACGGTTGTCTCACGGTGAATTGCCAGGCTCTGCGGGGACCTATTTAGAGAAAACTCTTTTCTTTAAAAATCATTGTTATTATGAATATCTGCAACAAAAACTCAGAGCATTTGGTGGCGAGCCCTTCAATTTATATGTATAATGAACTCCAGGGCTCTTTTGTTTTCCCTGGGACAAAAGTTTGTATCACTTTCAATTAGGAAGCAGTAAAAGGATCCTTGGTTAGAGTATTTATTCTGTCCTACAGGCAGCAGTGTGAGCCAGCAGAAGGTCAATATTTTTATTTTTATTATAAAGAATGATTTCCTTTGAGCTCCTCATGCCCTGGGGAGACCAAGGCTCTCTCCTAAGAAAACAGTGTTAACTTGGTTATTTGGGCCAAGCTTTGGAGGGGGTGACATTGCTTGGAATTTGCTTTGGTGCTGAAATGATGCAGTTCCATGGCTGGGGATGAAGTGTGGCGTGGACCTGGTGTTCAGCTGCTGCACGTTGGGCTTCTGGGTCTTCTAGTGAAGAAATCATTCATTTCATAATGAAGATCAAGTTGAAATATGTTCAGGGCTTGAAAGAGGAAAAAAAAAAAGGTAATTTTGGCAATTACAGATTAGCTGGTGTCACGTCTGGTTTATCAAACAAGCAGGAGCTCTCGGTGCTGCTGAGCTCCAATGCCATCTTCTTTTTAAACAGCAGATGGTGTTAGAAACCTGTAACAGGTGGAAGCTCTTCAGTTTTATGTGAGAGATCAGAAGTAGCAGCAATTTCTCAGTCTCCCAAGGGGTAGTTCCTTCCCGAGCTGAACAGCAAGCTGGCCCTCTGCTTGGATAGTTATTACAGAGGGAAAAACTTCTGAATCACACATGTTCGTATGGAAGGAAGTGATTTTGATTCGACTTATTCTGGTTATAATAAAAGGAACCTGGTAATGGCCTCCATAATCCTCTGTTAGCAGCTCTAAAAGAGAGATGTAGTGGGGGAGACGAGCTGTGTTTGCTGGTGTGCCTCAAAACCCGGCTCCAATCTGCCAGATCTGTTGGTTCCCTGTCTATAATAGCACTTCGCATGCTTAAAGTGTTTTATAAACATTTAATTACCGCAGCTTTTGACTCAAAGCCAGGAATCCCTCATTCATCTGCTGCTTTGCGAGGGCTGTGAAAATGATATTCAAATTATAGAACTGCAGGGAGGGCTGAGTTCAAACCCCAGTTGAGGAGAACCTCCGTTACTGGGATCTGTCCGCGGGGCCGCGTTTCCAAAGCGAGTTTACTCCTCCAGCGCTGGAAACGGCAACGGGGATGGATCTGAGGGCCTGTCAGTACCCCAGGACACGGAGCTGCACCTTAATCATGTTAGGGAAATGAGATGCTAAATTCTGCTCAGCTGGTGTTGTATGAACTTCTGAGGCAGGCGGGGAGTGCGGCTCTGTCTAGACTAGAGCCGCGTTTGATCCCCCGGCCCCGCCGTGTCCTTTGCTGCCGTCAGCAGCAGGAAAAAAAATCAGTATTTGTTAGAAGTCGCTTTTTTCCCCACCCACCAAACTACTTGG